TCTTTTACGCTAATGATTCTTGCTACATCTATTATTTCACTTGCTTGTTGAATAAGATCTTGTTTCTTAGTCTCTTGACCTATTTCTACAGTTCTTAAGTGAGTGTCTTTTAAAAGATCTTTTATATTCCTTATTTCACTTAAGATTTCTTCTTGGTTTTCAAGGATTCGTAATAGCAAAATAATTTGGGTATTCTGCTGTCCTACTAATACTTGATCTTGGACTGCTAAGGGTTGAAAATTGGTTAATCCATAGGGATTTCCTAATTTTCCTGCTTCTCCTGAAGCTTCTTTGTAGTCTGAATTTTGAGCGAAAGAAGTTTCACCCATTCAACCCAAGAATTAATCTTTGAAGTTTTTGGACCTGTTTAAACAACTCTTCTTGATTTTGGATCAAGGCAGTTGTTTGATGACAAAGGTTTTGAACAAATTGATCTGGCCCTTTGCTAATTAGAAATTGAGAATTAATTAAATTGACTTTGTTTTTGACAAATTCAATTTGTTGTTGCAAGTAGTCTTGATTCTCAATTAGTTTCACAATATTTTTGTTGTAATGCTTTTCAAAGTTTTGGAACCTTTCGAGCACTACTTTTTCTTTTTCTTTTTGTTTTTTATAATTTTCTGAAAAATTTATAATTAGGTCTACAATACTATTTAACTGGCTATTATCAGAATGTAAATTATGACTAAAACCTGAAAAACTACACACTATATTATGATTATCTAAAGTTGCTTTTGATTTTTTATAAGGATGTGAAATAGTTAGATCTAAATAATCTAAACTCATAAAGATAATATCAACGGATAATAATATCAACAGTAATAGATAATAATATCAACAGTAACAAAAACAGTAACAGATAATAATGTCAACCGTATTTATTTGACGTAGATAGACAAAGTAGATAAGTAAAGGATAGCTATACAAAAAGAAGCCAAATATTAACAAAAAGACAAAGTAGTCAGCAAATGTTGACCAAATAGTAACCAAATAGTAACCAATTTTGACCAAGCAATTTCTTACAAAGAAGATTAATTACGTAGATGGGAAAAGGTGGCAATTTACAAAATGTTGACCTTTAGCAAAATTATATGACTTTTAACACTAAGTAGTCTGACACTAGAAGAAATTTAGACAAGAAGATTTCTACTGCAATCTTAACAAACAGATATGAAGGAAAACTATAAGACTGACTCAAATTAATGCAAAGTTGATTTTTAACACCAAACAGATAGACTTACGTGAAAACAGATAGACTATGGTTAACAGATAAATTGTAAGACAAACTAGACAATGAAGATATAGTTGTCTTTGGCAAAGAGTTTCGTCTGTAAACTAGGATTTGTCCACTTTTTATACCACATACCCATATGTAATTGATATATATATATATATCAATTAGAAGTCCATGGTTTATTGGTTGGCCGAGCTGAAGTGCCAAACTGTTATTAGCATTTACTTTATACTTTGTTTCGTGAATTATAGGGCATTTTGACTTAGTGTTGATTGCTAAATTTTTAAGCAATATGTAAAAATATATTATGTCATAAAAGTCAAACAAATATAGAAAAAATGTTAGAAATTTATATCTCCTCTCCTTTTACAAATTAAATGGATTTTTTTACACTATTATGAGAAAATGGAGCATTCCAACTTTTACATTGACTTATGTTTCTATACCTAATTCTTGTTTTGTATTTTTATTTTGATAATACTATATTTATAATATCATATATAATTATAAACTTACAATTATAATATAATATTAAATAAGTGAATGCATATAATATTATTGTAAATTTCTAAATAAAAAAACTAATTACATAATAATACATCATATGATAAGTTTATAATG